GATATTATTTTTATAAAAATACTAAAAGAACCAGAAAGAAAGAAAAAAAAAAAAAAGGAAGGAAGGAAACACATGTGCTTGGGTTAATTTTCTCACAGGCTCAAAAGGCTCTCTGAGAGCACAGACTAAGAAAACCTTTTTCAGTTGCACTCCCATCATCTAATCCTGGCAAACAGCAGGCACAATATTTAATTAAATGAATGAATTGTTTTTTTTTTTAAAGTAGAGTGAACCAAATAATAGTTTTAATAACAGCTATCATCTATTAAGTACATTCTTTGTGTTAGGAACTGCACTAAGCACTTTACTTATATTATCTCATTAAATTCTTACTAATAATGGATAACATTAGATTTCACTGCATGTCAGACACTGTTCTAAGTGCCTTACATAAATCAGCTCATTTAAACTTACTATATCTCAAAGGGGTAAATACCATTATGATTATGCCTACTTTACAAATGAAGAAACCAAGGCATGGAAAGGTTAAGAAACTAAAGGCACTGTGTTAATAGATGGCAAATACAGTGTTGGCTCAGAGTCCAAGCTATCAAGCAACACACTATTCTGCCTCTTATTAGGGATCAGAAAATTGAAGCTGTAACCTGCTAAAGATTACTAAATGGTGAAGCTAAAAATAAAAAATCTAACTTGGAGAATGAACTAATTCTCCCCCAATTTCCATTTGCTTATAGTTTATGCCTGGTGAAAGATGTCATCAAAGTCGCTTACCAGATCCTATAAGTATGATAAAAGCTGGTCGAGATAACAATAAACAAACAAACAAAAAAAGGAAATAAATACACATGGCATGCAGGAACCTTCCTGAATGCTTCTTGACCTCCTTGTACCTACCTTGCTAGGGAACTGCTGTATGACCTGGGGAATGTAGCTTATTCCTGATGCCTTCTTCTGTAGAGACACCACCACAAACAGTTCAAACAGCTGCTGTTCCTGCAATTCAATAAGATCCCGCTCCAAGGTCTGGTAGTGAGGATTCCTCTTGGAAGACTGCTGCAATTGTGCTAAGCGTTTGTGGCGATCTGTAATAAAATCACAGAGCAAGGGTTTTCCCCTGAGACCCTCTAGTCCCGAGGTCATGACCCACACAGGACCAATCTTCACAGGTTCACTGCTGAATGCACACTGACTAAACAATATGTGCCACACACAAACACACACACACAC